ATAATATACCTACACAATATTCTCCCTATGCACAGTATATATAATGCACAATACAACTTGCAGTATGTAGTTCACATAATCATTGTGCAAAATGCACTTACTGCTGACACTCACATCAGTCTTCCACAGTTTAATAATGTATTTAGTAAAGGAGGTGGTGGCAAGCCGCCCACGTTGTGGTCTGTTTTGTACCAAGCTTATGAGTGAAAATGTCAGGCTGCCAAGAAGGGACAATCCCGCATGTTACACAGATGACTATACCTTTGCAGAAATCAAAGCAAGCGTTCAGTGTTCATGCTTCTGGAGTTGTTTTGTGTGCATCTTGCTCCACTTTGTGGCAAAACTGCCAGTCATTTTTAGACCACTATCGACTGACACCCTGACATTTAACGCCTCTTTTGGTTTGGGAAATTGCACTCTGGGTTGTGCAGGTTGTGCTATTCTTGGGTCACAGGCTGGGTGTGGTGTGTGCCAGCTGTAGCAAAGCCAGCTGTAGATGCATCCCTTCTCTTTGTGTGCGACCACACCAACATGTGGTTAATGGTTTAAAACACCCTGTTAGTCACACATGTAATGCACTTAAAAATGCATCTCTGAATGATGCTTGCAATGCAGTAGATGCAAGACTCAGACCTGTGCATCTGTTCAGTAATGGAAACTGCTGATACGTGAATAGCTGCAGCTTCCTGAGCTCTGTCTTTGTGTTTGTGCGTTGTGTCAGCAGGACAGGTGTTTTGATGTCTGCACAGCGATTGTCTCTCTGGCCATGTGTGCGTACTGCCCTGAGCTGCGGGGTTCTCTTGCTGGCTGCTCTGCCAGACTTCACCACAGGTATGAAGATTTCCTTTCAGCAACCCACATCTTCCTCTTCCAGATTACCAGCCACTAGTAAAGACTGTCAAATTATCAGTTTTGCAATAATCACTTATGAAACTTTGTATAGGCACTTGTGGGCCAATCAGTCTTGTTCAATCTATTAATCTATTCAAAAATAACACTCTTACGGTGAGCATGTTTTTCATTTCTGAATTAAAATTAATTTGGTTATTTTTGGGGGGTCAAAATGTCAGGGTGATACAACTTTCTTGATCATAATGAAGAAATAAATCAGTAAATAAATGAAATTATTGAAAAGAAAATCATATGAATTTTTATTAATTATTAATAGTCATACTAATATTATTATATCTATTCATAATTATTATTATAACAATTAATATCATGTAATATATAATAATTGTTTTATTGTGTAATTAGTTTGTAAAAAAAATGTTCATTAGACAAATATTTTAACAAAATTGCTCCACTACTTAATTTGCAGAATGTCTGCCACCAAAAGTCGTGTAGTGCAACATGAATACAATGAGTACATGTAGGGGCTCAATTTTACCTTATCAGGGTCATTTCTAATTTATCTTTCTTATTTCAAGGCAAGAATTGCTCCCATCCGATTGTACCAGAACATGGAGGTTTCCGCTGTGAACCCTCTCCCTGTCGCGGTTTCCCTCAAAAGAGCATCATTCGCTTTTTCTGCGAGCCTGGCTACACTCTACCCAAAAGCCACCATAGGTCAAAGTGTGAGCATGGGAAATGGCATCCCAAAGTGCCCGTCTGCATGCCCCAACCAGGTAAGAGAAAAGAAGAAATGTTTATGCACTTGAAAACTTGACGCAACCACTGCAATTCAGCCATTTACCGTCTTTTGAAGCAAGAGACTGGAAGCAGTGTATGCAGATTTTCCATCTTGCATCAGTTGTCCATTAGATCTGTATTCTGAATGAAGAAAATGTGCTGGAGGAAGGCATTACAAAAGCAGAACCATTAATAAATGACCCAAATAAGCCCCAGGGAAAAAACCATGATGCTTCATTCAGCCACTCACTTCCTTGTCTGAGCTGAAACATGTCACGAGAGGAAACCAACAGCTTGAGCAGGAAGTTAGCAAAGACACCAAACTAACCAGTATTATTTTTTTCTGTGATGCACATAAAGCCTTCGGAAACATTCGCATCATAGAATCTGAATCAAAGGATGTTATCCTCACTCAACCACTTCCAGAAACTTGCCTGGCATCCGGCCTTGATTTGTACATCAGTTTGTTTTCAAGCTCTTTGCAATTGTCTTGAAATGGTTTGTGTGTTTTCTTTTAAACAGAGGGTCATCCTGAACAACCAGAAAAAATAGTCAACTCTATCCCAAGTGTGGCTACGACTGCTATTGGAGTGTCCATCTTCCTTCTCACCACAACGGCCTGTTTGGTCATCAAATCCCGTCTATTCTCCTGTCGCACGCAACGGTATGTCATTTCACTTGTTTTATCGTCCAAAAAAATGCAATGAAATGCACATGACACACAACCTTTCAAAAGTCTGGGGTCAGTAAGATTTTTGTTTTTTAAGAAATCAATACTTTTATTCCTGCAAGGATGCATTAAATTGATCAAAAGTGACAGTAAAGACAAGGTATAAACTCATAATTGTGAGATATAAACTCGTGATTGCAAGAAAATTATTAATTGGTAATTACCAATTACCCTTTTTTTTTATTCCATGGCATAAACAAGCTTGACTTTTCCCCTTGCATTTACAAATTTCTATCTCACAATTAAGAATTTTCTTAGAATTGTGAGTTTATATCTGGCAATTCTGCCTTTTTTCTCTCAGAATTAATGAGATATAAACTCAGAATTGCAAGAAAAAATTCAGAATTGTTAAAGTTAAAATTGTGAAAAGCTAAAAATGTGCAATTTAAAGAATTGTTATTCCGTGGCAGAAATAATCTTCCATAGAAGACTGGAGTAAAGGCTGCTAAAAATTCAGCTAATAAATTACATTCAGAAATATATTTAATAGAAAAATGTATTTTTAAATTGCAATAATATTTCACAATATTGCTGTTTTCACTGTTTTTTTGATTAAAGAAATGCAGCCTTGATGAGCACAAGTGAATTCTTTCAAAAACATACTTCTTACAAAACCAGCCCCAAACGTTTGAACAATACATATCAACATCACATTAACTGTTGTGTCTTTTTCATCAGGCGTTCCTCGGATCAGTTGGACCTTGTTGTCGATGGCTTACCTGTATCTCTTCCCACGTACGAGGAGGCAATCTACAGCAGTTGGGGCCAGCGACTCCCGTCGTTCCGTGGACCCACTCAGCTCCTGCTGACCCAGGACGCATCAGAACACAGTCCGCTGACTTCGCTCATTCGCCCCGATTCCAATCGTTGCACTGACACAGCCAATCATAGCACAGATACTCCACTGCCTCCTTACGAAGAGGTCCAATCACGATCCAGAGACACTGAGAACGACAGGGACGAACGGGCTTTGCAAAGCGCACTTTCTGTTGATAAAAACAACTAATTACTGGACTTTAATGAACTCACCCTTAGCCTTTTGATTGTTCGTTTCCTTGCACAGGAGTCCTTGTGACTTTTCCTTCTGCCTTTGCTTGTGAATTCATCCTTTTTTGGCTTCAAATACCAGTGAAAAACTGGTGTAGATGTTTCGCAATGACCTTATTGGTCAGATATGTTTGGTTTTCCTAGGTAACGTGCTGCAATATTGATTATGTTAATGTTTTCAGTGACCAGCTGGAGATGTGGCTACCCTCCGTGAGGGGAAACAAGGTGTTTTAAGGGGACTTTTATGATTGATGAATGACTTTTATTTAATGATGTAGCCTAGGTATAGCAGCCATTTCCGTAAGAATGATATGCTGTGTAGTTACAGTTTCAGGGTTATGATTTAAGATTAGCATGGAAATAATGATTTCACCTCATTCAGTGTTTCTCAGAGCATTTAGATTGACTGAATGTAAGCAGCAGATTGAGATTGTGCCTATTGACCGATGGATGTAGTATATTTTATTTAATTTTAATTCCTTCCAACTGAACAGATCTATTGTTATATTGCATTAACATATAGAACAGGGGAACAGATTTGAAGTATGCTTGCTGAATGGACACTGAATGTTTGAACAAATATGTTGTATTTGTTTTTTGTTTGGCATTTTATGATATGTAACATTTACATCATTACATCTTGTACATAATTCTGCACAATTAGTGTTTGTAAAAGTAATAATACACTTTTAAAACTTTATGAACTGAATGTTTGCTATTAAAAATGATTTTAAATCTTTTTAGGGTATGTGAGTGGTGTTTCACACATATATTAAGATATATTCTGAGGTTAATAATACCCGCTGAAACTCGCTAAAACTAACATTTTCAGTGGTTTACGTGTAAAGGTGTGGTAAAGAAAAATGTTTTACCTTGTAGAGACTGGCAGCAGGCTGGTCCCCATCTTGAGGTCAAAAGCAGTACTGCACACACGTGCTAGGAAAACAACGAGTGTTTTTGTGTTTATTAATAATCTTCATTAGAGATTGTTGGAATATAATATGCTCTTTACTACATAAGCAAAATAACACCGCAATCTTTTACGTATTAACCACATGGTTTATACCAGTTTTGCCGTTGAAAAGTTCTGCATGGAAAGCATTGGATGATTATTGACGTCTATTAATATAGTTTATAATTAAGAATTAGACATATTAAACGGTTGTCCGTGGTGATTGATACAAAACATTGCACTATGCTTTTTAATGTATGTACAAATATGATAGACGGGCATATGTCGGTTGCACAGCAACTCGCTAGTGCATTTTTAAAACGCTGCGTCAGCTTTCGTTTAAAAAAAGTTTTAAAGAGACCTTTAAACTAAACTAAACCAAAGAAAGAGAGAGAGATCCTACATTCCCCCAGGTGCTGAGTTTTATGTTTTTGAACGCATGAACATGTGTGAACGGTCCCTTACAAACAATAACGTCCATATATTTAGACAGATATTATTCAATTAATATTGTGTATCAAAACGTGAAAGAAACAAGGAAAGCTTTTAATCGAGAAGATTTTTTAATGAGGAAATGTGCTTACAGTATGGATGTTTTTAAGTCAGTATTTTTAAGAAAAAGCACACAACACTTGTGTATTGCATTTAAAATGTTTTATTTCTTTACCAGTCAATACAAGGTATAAGTACATTGGAAATAAATGATGCAAAAATACACAAGGTAATATACACTATAAGTCTAAGATATCTGAAGAGCTTTTATCCATATGAGAAAGGCATGTGTCTTATCGGACACTATTTGAATAAGGCCCCTTGAGTCATGTCTGTACTAGCTACAGAAATCAAGGGAATATATCTGATTCACAGTCAACTGAAGAAAAAAAAAGCACCACACTTAATCCTGTATGCCACAATTTAAAAAACTGCCTCTGCTGCATAAAAGATGGTCTAGAAACATCAACAAACGACAAAACTAAAGGCGATCGCTTGCTGCAACCGCTTCATCCAACTGATTAGCACATTTGTCGTGTTAGCATCTCAATCTTAGGATTCAAAAAGACATCAGACAAAGTTTTCGGTCAATACGACTGCAGCGTCAACACCATAGCCTCTTTGAAAACCATTACAGATCATTCAACATATTGGAAGTGACACAGGGCAGAAAACAGTAATATTTGTAATTCAACACCAAAGACTTGAAGTTGATATTATAGGTTTAGATTAAGGCTACAAGTGGTAGAACAACATGTTAACACTATTTCTAACATATCCTGACCAGTTTATCTTCGATTTCAAACACCCTTTGGCCACATTTGTGCTTTGGACAAACTCGGACTGAACGGCAGAAAACAAGGGGAGATCAGAGCACCATTATTTTTTTTTAGAAATGTCGCAATCTACTGAATGACAAATCTGCTGAGAACTCATTACCAATCACTATATTATACTAATTCTACTAACTAAAGTCTATTTTGACTACTCTTGGTTATAGTATTTGGGCAAAAACAAATTAAAATAATAATAATAAAAATATTTGACATATATAATGGACAGCGTGTTTAGGCCAATTGTCCTTCCTGTGTTTTGTGCGTAAAAGTTCACTCTCTGAAATACGTTGATACATGCGGAGCGTGAAAAGGGTTTTTATAACCCTCTTTGATAACGGTCACTGTAATTGCTGATGACTCGTCCACATTGTTTTCTCTTCAAGTAAGGGAGGGCATTGTTTCAGCAACAGGCCTCATCAAGTCAGGCGGGCGCGACAGGAAGGTGTCCCTCATGAGAGCTGTTAATGATAAAATTAAGATTAATTTATAAAAGCTTACTCGTTAACTTTTATTCAACAGGACAGGACTGTTTAAAATAAGTAGTGTACCTGCTGTGTCACACAACGCTTGGGCTCCACCCAGCAACGGGTCCCTGTCGGTCAAGAGCTGACTTCGCTTTTGAGGTGGCGGTTCAAATTCTTCCGAACCATCGTCGGATAAGGTATTCTGAAAAAACAAAAACAAAAATCACATATCATCCATACCAAGTGTTTTTGTGTGAATAAAGTTTAAAAAGTGGAGGTCCAAAAATAACAGATCATTTGTCTTTACCAGTAATGTGTGGCTGAGCAGAAGCTGTTCCTCTATGGAGCCGCTCTTCGGTTTCTTCTCCCATTTGGCAGCCAGAATGGGAATGTCATCTTCCTCCTCATCTTCCAAACCTCTATTGTGGAGAAAGACATAAAATATGTATATTATACCCTACTGTTCAAAAGTCTGGGGTCAGCAAGATTTTTTATTTATTTTTTGACAGAAACACTTTTATTCAGCAAGGATACATTGATCAAAAATGACAGTAAGCACATTTATAATATAAGATTTCTATTTCAAATAAATGGTGTTCATTTGAACTGGCTATTTATTAAAAAAGCATGAAAAAAAATGTATCATGGTTTTCACAAAAATAATAAGCAGCACAACTGTTTTCAACATTGATGATAATAATAAAAAGTTACTTAAGCAGCAAATCAGCATATTAGAAAGACTTCTGAAGGATCATGTGACACTGAAGACTGGAGTAATGACTTAAAAATTTAGCTTTGTCAGCACAGGAATAAATTCCATTTCAAAATATATTCAAATAGAAAACAGGTATTTTAGAGTGTAATAATATTTCACAATATTACTTAGGGCTGCACAATTAATCGAATTTCTAATCGGGATTACAATTACGGATGCCACAATTACATAATCGTTCAAAATCCACTTATGTTATTCTGCGTGCTTAAGATGTTTGTTTTTCTTTCTTTCTTCAGGTTATCTTAAGGGTTTTTCCATTGTTTTAATTTTAGTATAACATTATAATACCATGCATTTTTTCTTTTTTTTTCTATTTAAAGAAGAAACCAATCTAATGTAGAGTTGACATTTGAGGCTTAATACTATAGAAAAGCAATAAAAGTTTTTCAGTTAATTAATAAATCGCAAAAACAATTTTAAGGGCACAATCGACAATTATGATTTTTGTCATAATCGTGCAGCCCTAATATTACTGTATTTTTCATTAAATAAATTCAGCCTCAGTGAGCATAAGAGACTTCCTTTACAACATTAAAAAGATCTTACCAGTCCCAAACCTCTGAATGATAGTGCATGTTACCATATCTGAAACAATCAAGTCATCTTGAAGAAACAAAATATGCTGAAATCATCATTATGACTCTTACCGTTTCCTTGAAGTGTTGGTCAGCATATCTGAAGGTGCAGCCGTTTCACTCTGGGGCAGGAAGGTCAACTGGAAGTCATCATCCATGGAGATATATGGAGCCAACATGTCCAAATCAAGCTCATCCATAGCCTGTCAAAGAATGAAAGTGTTAAACACCCATGACTTATCTTCTGAGATGTTTTAGACATGTTTGAAAGAGATCTAAAAACCACTTTGAGAACTACCTCTGACTGTCCTTTCAGAGTTATGCTCTCTTCCGGTTTGAGGGCGAAGAACTTCTCCACCCCTTCCGTCTCCATGGGCAGCTCTTCAGCGGGGCTCTGAAACAGACCCTTAAACGTCAGATAAACCATTCAAACCATCAAAAATACCCAGACAAACGAACAAAAACTCTCATACACACCGCAGCGGGTGGAGATTTGGTGGGCCTGTCGAATATTGGAGAGAGGAGCTTGCGGAGTTCAGGCGTACAGAGGTCCTGAGGGCTTTCTGGGAGAGTGTTGGGACTCGGTGGACAGCAGAAGGACAACTCCACACACTCTGTGAATAATATAAAGCACTATAAGGATGACATTACATTTGTGTAAGAATACACAACACCAAATCGATTTTAGAGGACCAACAGCAAACATTCCCATTCTGTAGAAAAGCATGATTGTGAGCACCTGTTAGGGAAATGATAGCGTCTCCAGAGTGAGGTGCCAGCTGCAGTAACTCTTCTGGGTTCTCCTTCATCTGGAGGAAGAGCGTCGCAGTGTTGCTCTCCTCCTCCATGTCTGAGTCCTTCTCCTCCTCCAGCACGCTCAGCTTCTCAGCTCTGGGCTTTGGTTTCTCACAGGTCTGTTCTAGTGAGAACACAACATCTGCCTCTTCCACACCACTGCCAGAGAGAGAGAGAAACATCATTCACACCAGGGTTATTTTTGTTAATTGAAATTGAAACCATTCGTTGTGTAGGATATGAAAATTAGAAATGTTCCCTTGGTGACTAATTGAAATTAAATTAATTTTAAACTAGAAAAATAAAAACTATACAGACATAAAAAAGCTTAAAAAAAGACAACAAAATTAATAAAATGTAAAATAAACAAAATACCATTCAAAATATTAATGTAAACTATAATAGTATATTAAATTATACTAAAATACTAGAAACAGATATTACACCAAGTCTGATTGAGGTACCTGAGGATAAAGTTGAGGCAGACCACAGCCTCGGGTTGAGAAGTCCTGCTGTTGTAGAGGACAGTGGCTTGAGTCTCAGTCCAGACAAATCCTCCATTCTTAGCCAGAAAGCGGTAATGGCTGGTGCACACCTGGCCCTTGGAGAACACTGCAAATAAGGAAAAGATAAGGAAGAGTTTAGCAGTTGGTCTTTTCTTCATTCTATAAAGAAAACATCAGAACACAACATCATCGTTGACACTGTCACAGAATTTTCAACAAATGAAGTTGATCACTGCGTGGGGTTACGGTTAATACTAACTGTATTGTGAAAAAACTACGTTTGGTTATGTCACGGAAATTAATGAAGACAAACTTAAACTTACAGACGTGTAAACTCCTGGTCACATGATCAAAATCAAGGGCGTGATAAAACTCATAGGCAGACTGGCCAATCAGATCTTCGGGTTGGTATCCAACAAGCTCAGTGACTCTGTAAACGCAAAGCAGTCAATCAATATATCAAGTCTCATCATTTTATTACATATTTAAATACAATTTATTATAGTGATGCACCAAAATATTATTTTGAGCAAAACCAAAACAAAAGTTTTAATTTAGCCAAAAACGGAAACCAAAAATAAAGTGTGGTTAAATTTGGGTAACTAAACTGTTCTGCTGTTCAGGGTGTTGTCTCATCCCAAGTTAAACCAGTCTCCTTTGAATATTTTAGTTGAACCAATTTTATATATTGCTACACTTGCATCACTTTATCACAAAATTTGGGGGCATTATTAATTCATTCCACAATTGTTATTGCAGAAGAGTATCCTTAAATGGCGATGTCACATGAACAACTAATCTGCAACTTGTCAATGCTGGCAAATGACCATGGTATAAGCGGGCTAATGCATGGCTAGCTGTGCATTAAACAATTTTAATGCGCTTCGTGTCGGATGGTTCTTGACCTCCACGCAGTGCATTAAAATAGTTTAATGCACAGCTAGATGTGCATTAACCCTTCCTTAAACTGCAGTAAGTTCAGCAGCAGTTCAGTAAGTGAGTCAGAATTTGATTCCGCAATTGTCCTGACTGAATTAGTGAGGATTCATCACTGATTCAAATAGGTAATTAGCACTTTTCTTGTGCGAGTCTTTCAGGAGCCGGTTCTTTTAATGAATCATTCAAAGAGTCACTTGTTTGCGAGTTGGACTACACTGGTCTTGAAGCTTGTGAGGACAATTCAGCAACAACAACAAAAACAACAGTCTTGCCATTATTTTGGACTGCAAACTCACATTCATAGCTCAAGAAAGTGTCATTTCTTTTGCCATGGGGCTGAAGGTTCAACAGCAGTGAAGGAAACACTATATTTAGTTCATATGAATTTGCATCAATTTAAAAAGCCGTTTATGGAAATCTCCAGCATAAAATGTGATTGTTGTATCTAATCCCAACACTGAGATACTCTAAATATACTGTGCCCTAAGTGCATGCCGAGAGAAAAACACTTGAAACCTGAGTCACATGCTTTCTCACACCATGAATGAAATCTGTCTTCAGCTGTCACACGTACGCATTTTAAAAACATCCAGTGAGAATAAAACGTCCGCAGCTACAAGGCTCATTCATTTAGGTTTGCAGATAGAGTGAGTAATGTTAGATTCATTTTTACATGTGTGGGTAGACTTAACCATGAGAAGGAATGCAAATTTGATTTTGAACACTGTATATCGCCGCTTCACAGAGGTGAACTGAGTGCACTCCTACACAGAGAAACTCAGCTGACCCGCTGTTATCAGAGTCATGAGATTTATTTTAACTTTTACGACCTCCGAGCGTGTGCCGTGTACTTCTGAGAGAGTATGCATGAGCATGTATTATTGCATTTAAATACACCTTTACCGTCCGTCACATTGTGTGAAAGTCAGGTCCATGTTATGGCGTGTGAGGAAGGTGCTGCTGTCTAGTGGGAATTCAACGCTGGAGGGGTGAGGAATGGGTTCGCACAGCAAAGTCAGGAAGCTGCCAGCAGGGGGCGAGTTCTCATCATCGCCGCTGAACATCTGCATGTGTCCTGTGCAATGAAGGACCTGGGAGAAGAAATGGAAAAATGACTGTTTGTACATGTCTCAATAAAATACAGATGACCAAGATGAAAACACAACACTGTGTAACATGACGTGCGAAACAAGCGGTCAGGCTGGACCAGTGCCTCCTGTCTTGGCACTGAATGTAGTTGGATCTCTGCCTTCAGTGTATTTGTGTCCTGTTTTATGCACTCATGGGACTTGACCCCATAGCTCAACAAAGAGCCGGACTGATGTGAAGCGGTAATGCTGATACAGTCCTGCATACCCCTCAGAGCAATCTACACCCGATAAAGATGAGCTAACAGGTGCTGCGTGTGAAAATAGCTAAAGGAAGTTCAACACCAGTATTGATTAAACCTTGTCGCCATTAAATGTTTCTAAAAACAAAACTAAAAGCAGTGCACGTTGACATGCTGTACAATGTGAGTTTGAATGCGGCTTGGATTGTTTATGCACACTTTCTTCCTATAGTTTCCTGTCTAAAACACATTCAATAGGCCAAACATAAAATAATAAGCTATTTTTACATAATATTCACAGCTTGTGTACCTTCCAGGTTGCAGACTTGATATTAACTGTTCTTCCTGTGTGGGTGAGTGTGCTCTTCATCCGAAGGAAAAAATTATGTTCGGTCAACTTCTCTGTCTTTTTCTTTGAAACACCTGAGGATGAAAAAAAAACATTCTCCTTGTCAGTCCACACAGAACATTAGACTTCAAAAAAACTCAATACACAGTAGGTCACTGCACAGCAGCTAAAATTCAGTGAAAATAAATATTTTATTACCAGGTCTTGTGGCGAAGATGTCTCGCAATTCTTCTTGGTCACAGGGATGAACAAACTCATACACGCTCTGTCCAAGCAGCTCCAGCTGTACAACACCACATCAGAAAAAAAAAAATCTTTGCTTATCTATCTTAAAAAAGCAATTTAAGATAACTTCAAAACAATATAATGACACTAAAGACGGTATTAAAGAAAAAAAGTCATTTATTTATTTAGCACATGAATTTATACAAAGTATGTCATACATGTAAACAACTTTTCTGCATTTTAAATTTTTTCCCCCCACCATTTACTGCATACTTAAAAACACTTTTTGGAACATGCATTGGACTGACTCACAGGAATAAAATCACCACATTTTTTAGCATTTATGAAAAATGCAATTCAAAGAGTGAATGAGGGTCATGTGTATGAGATTTCATGCCTTTCCCATCAAATCGCCCACTATCATCCTTTAAATGCCTTTACTGTAACATAATTACGTTTTAATGGTCTAAATTATTTTAAAAGATTAATTTTATAATAACCTATAATATAACATTGCATAAATATGCATACACACACACACACACACACATATATCCTCAGTGTCATATCTGTTGGATTTCAGTACTTATTTCTTTTTTTATTGCATTACTCAATACGAACCTAAATAAAACATTGTAACTCCCTCCTTTCAGATTATAGCACAACAACACATTAGACCCTCAGGAACAGAAAGGGTTTTAGTCACACACGTAATATGAACACTGTGCCTCATACCACAGCGGAGGAATCCAAAGTGACACTATTCCTGGGCCGCGCGCTGCTAGACTGCAGCCAACTTGTTTGAAATTCTCAACTTTGTGAAATTCACACTGTGCTGGTTTCAAGTAGCTCTTCAATATGGGGCAGGACTTACCTGTGTCATGCCGATGTATTTGCTGACACTCTCTGAGAGGAAGACCATGTCCCCTTCCTCAGTCATCACCAGAATAAAGCCAGCCAGTGCCTGCTGATAAAAGGCATCAGTGGGATTCTCAGTTTCTTCAGTCTGTGTTTTGGTTGGCCCCGCTGGATGTGACAAAAATTAAATATTAACATTAGTAAATATTAGCCAAAGAAGTATTTGAACATACTCATATATAAGATGTACACATTATCATTCAAACGTTTGGGGTCAGTAAGATTTTTTCCCCTAAAGCAATTAAAACTTTCATTCGGCAAGCATGCATTAAATTGATCAAAAGTGACAGTAAAGACACTTTTAATTTATAAATTATAAAAGAGCATTAGAGATTTAAAAAAAAAAAAAAAAATTATATATATATATATATTACAGATCCCAAACTTTTGAATGGTAGTGTGTGTTTGTGCATAAATATCTTTTAAATGTCAGTGGTTTCATGCATCTGGCAGCCAGTAATTGCCTGCACAAACATACTGTGGTCAGCACAAACCAGGTTTATTCTAGTTGAATGTTAACCCAAGTTTAATGCAGTCTGGCCTGTATTTTCTTTTCTCTTGTGCAATATTGCAAGAGATGGATTTGCTCCAAAATACTGCAAACATCCCTCAACCTAACTATGCATGATCTTATTTAGTTGCACTTATTAATGGCATATAACATTGTGTTTTCTGCCTGCAGTCCACAACCCTATTAACACAGACCTGTGACCAATTTCAGGTCTCAACCAACTGCTAGACATCATACAGCTCGATTTCATTTCAGTGGCTTTATGCACCTGGCAGCCAGTAAATTGCCTGCACAAACGTATTGTGGTCAGCACAAACCAGGTTTATCCTAGTTGAATGTTAACCCAAGTTTAATGCAGTCTGGGCCGTTTTTTCTTTTTACTTGTGCAATAGAGATGGATTTGCTCCAAAATACTGCAAACATCCCTCAACCTAACTATGCATGATCTTATTTAGTTGCACTTATTAATGGCATATAACATTGTGTTTTCTGCCTGCAGTCCACAACCCTATTAACACAGACCTGTGACCAATTTCAGGTCTCAACCAACTGCTAGACATCATACAGCTCGATTTCAGCAGAACCCACCTGATTGGATCAATCGGTTCACGCGCAGATAGCTGAGTGTCACCCTCATGATGGCAGCTTTGTCCAGGTGGGAGGCGATACGTCGTGGAAGGGGTAGTGAGTGGGCCAGTTCGTAAAACACCTCAGTCTCCTGACTCCTCCTACAGCGCGCTGCGTCACGTGAACGCACCTTCCGCTGCTCCAAACTGGGCCTAAATAAGGCAAAACAAGAAAAACTAACTTATTTAAATGACCAAACGCAGAATATCTAACCCTTAAACAGAAAGCCAAAGAAGAAAATCAAGTTTTTACAATGTCATTTCTTAGCATGAAGCTTTTTAAATTTGTAGTTTCCACCGGTTTTCTTTCCACAATTGTTCTTCATCCAAAAAGACAACAACAACAACAGAAAAAACATTCCGTTCTCTCCATCTCTTACATCTTGTTCTCTGTTTCTCCTCAATAAAACTGTCCCAGCTGTAATTGGTGAGTTCTGGTGCTCTGTGTATCCTAGTGTTGCCAGAGAGTGAGCCCCAGATAAACTTTTCCTTCACTCTGTGCCTTTCACTCATGCTCCCCTCCTCCACTGGCCTTATGTAGACAAGCCTGTCCCATGGCCCTCCCCCATGCTTCCTATCTGACAGAGTCCCTCCCAGCTCTCAGTCTCTGACCTCCTTTGTGCTTTGAACAGGACTGAACTCTGCCGACCCTGACATTCCAAAATGGCCCATCAAACAGTTGCCAAACTCTCAGCATATACTTTTTTTTTGGCATAGTCAAACAATTCCTTCAGATATACAGTGCTGGAATTACATTTCTGCTAGCAGAACACAATTAGCATTTACTGCTGATACATTTATTCTTTCATGAATCTTTGATTAATAGAAAGTTCAAAAGAACAGCATTTATTTGTAATAGAAATCTTTTGTAACAATATAAATGTCTAAACTGTCACTTATGATCAATTTAATGCACCCTTGCTGAATAAAATAATTACTTTCTTTCAAAACTAACCCAAAACTTTAACAATTTACTTTAATAATAATAAACTTTAATAACTTTTTTTTTTGCACAAAGATATACAGTGCTGGATTAACTTTTCTACTGTCAGAACATAATTAGCTCTCTTATCGACATTGATTTATTGTGTTATTGTATTTCATTGTGCAGTAAACAGGACAAATATGCCGCACAGCGTGTCTGCACAAGTTGGGCTCCAGCCACACGGTTTCACTTGGCACGTAGTCTGTGGTCAGTCAAATCAGGCTCTGTACACTTGCTTGAATGATATGTAGTGTACTAAAAAAAAAATAAATAAAAAAAAATCACAGGAATAAGTCTGTATAAAGACTTGCACAGCCAGAATAAACATAAACAGTCATGTATCGCTGGCCTGGATCAAAACCTGTATTTGTAAGCACATGACTAATTTAACAACGGGGCCTAAAAGCAACTGTATGAAGATAACGATGCTGGTTTTGTGAAAATGGAGCACTGAAGAACAGATCCAGTGATTTGGTCAGTCATAATACCGCCATTTCACAGAAATATTACGCTAACATAAAACGAATTAGTAAACATCCAAATAAAGGGTAAAGTCCTAAAACAGAACAATCAATGGAAATCTGCCAAAGCTAACATGGTTTTATACATCTATAACAAACTTTTAGGTCAGAACAAAAAACGAAATGTCTGAGACAAGCTGAAGCAAGACCCAGCATCCAATTTTAAGCTGCAGGCGACCACATCAGATTACACAATAATCTCAGAAGAGATTAAAGTCTCAGCTGGTGGTCACTCCGGGAGAAACTCGTACAGAATGACCATTACTGAAACCTACCATCTAAAAATAACACACACAGAAAGAGCACATATGACAAATCCATATGAGATGAGCCTATTCTTGACAATAGAATGACAGGTTTTTCGACTATCTGAATGTTGAGTGCAAATACATTTAATCTTCGGCAAATCTCATAATGAATATTTATTTTTCATATATTTGTACATTATAATGTTGTGATGCCTACATTTACTAGCAGCATTTAAAATGACTGATTTTTATATTATCAATATTGAATGTTTTGCTGCTTAATATCTTTGTGGAAGTCATGATACACTTTCATCAAGATTCTTTGATGATCAGAAAGTTCAAACTTTTGTAACATTGCACATGTTTTTACTGTCATTTTTGACTAATTTAGTGCATATGTGCCGAATAGAAAAGTATTTGTTTTTTGCAAAACTGACCCCAGAGTTTTGAATGATAGTGTAACGAAGTAAACATGACATCTTAATGACTTTAAAAGCAGTGCACGCAGTCTCGTGCCAAAGCTGCTGTAAATCAATGCAGGAACACTGTGTCCTTCAGCTACGTCACAACAGTCACACCCAACCCTTGTGCTGTTTGTATGGTTAGGGATTTACTGTGAGTGTTATTATGTATTCTGGCAAAATGTCAACACCCCATATCAGTGTAGGTGGAACTGGAAGTGCAATACAACCCATCCCAGCCTGTTCAAACGAACTCCTCTGATCCTCATGGGATAAAGATGAGATGGGCATGACAGGCTTTAATAGGGAGGAATGTTCATGTCAAATGTTATACTGATTGATATGAAGCCGATGGTACATCATCTTATGAAGCTGTATGACTTGTCATAGAGATTGATGCATGGTGTAAATGGCACCTTATGACTTCACTGACTACTTTACAACACTCAACCTTTCCTTTAAAAGTAAAAAAATACTCCATGCAAAGCAACAATATCAATGTGTCCATATGTGAAACAGTCTTTGCTTTCTCATATAGGTTGTTTCAGGAACACAATGTTCTCTTTGCAAACTTGTGGTGGATATGGAGTAAATTTGCATCACATTTACTTTTTCGTCAATCGTCAACCCTGTGGTTTTAGTCAAGAGTGTCAGACGAATGCTATGGGATGTTTGTTTTCTATAGGACTGATTCTTTGACTCTTGCGTGCTTCTGAAGCACTGGGACTCCTTCCAACTGCTCTGCTGCTGAGGCACATGCAGTTCCTTTGACTGACTGAGTGAGCAAGCGAGAGAGCGAGGGTGTGTGAGAGGTTCGGCGAAGTTAATTTGCACGGTGGTGGGAGGGAGAGACAATGGGAGCTCTGCCAAGAGTAAGGTTGAACACAGGCAGTGGTCGCTAGACAGCAGAGAACAAAATGTTCTCTGGCCTATTTACTTCATTCTGAAAGTGTGTACTTCATTTCCTTCAGATATGTGGGTTGATACAAAATACTTTTAGGAAGCTGGCATGTATTTTGGTGTGATGTGCATTACTCATAATTTAAAAAGCATTTTGATCATTCTTTTAGAAGTAGTATAAATGTAGCTTTCATGAAATGAATTGGTCTCACTTTATTTTAAGTGTTTTTACTTCTAACATTTAAATGAAACAGTTGCAAACAATGCAACAAATATTGTGCACATGTAAAAACATGTTATGTTTTTGTAATTAATTGCTGAACACATTAAGTACATTGTAACAAACAATTGATGTAAATACATAGTAGTTATAGAATATTTTTACTTTCAAAAATGCATTTGCCTCTCCATAGGCCCATTAAAATTAGTTTTTTTTTAAAAATACAAAATAAATGATCACCAGTTACAGGATGTAAGACACACAATTTTCTTTAAATATTCATATCTACCAAAAATATGTTAATGAAATTGTTTAGAGAAGAAATAATGCTCTCAAAACAAAAGAACAAAGTTAGTTTATCATCAATACATTATTCTGCAATGTCAAAAACTTAAGAAACTTAATGTTTTGTGCAAAAGAGGAACAACAGAATTTGTTGTTTTGGCAAAAGACAAACCTTGCATTTTAAGCCTATGAAATATGCTTTTTCAAGCATTATTTCACTAATATAATTTATAGGGTTTCACTTATATCATATATTCACCCTTTGTGTGTCTTTACTTCTCTAAAAGTACTCTTTATCATATCTTATTTATCAGCCCACTAAATATGAAAGTGTCCATCAGATTTCTTAATGAAACAATAATCATCACAAACAGCTCATTACATAGATTAGGCAAGATTATAGTCTTTTAGAACAAAGGTGCCATTACAGGAGTTTATCATTCCTCTGACTGTGTAAACAGAACCTAAGAACACTGTCTTCACTTCAAGCAGTTTTATTGACCACCATGGGGTCCTTAAGAGCACTCAGAGCTGTTTTTGTTGTCTGAAGACGTTACTGAAGCTCAGCTGGTACAAAATTATCACTCTTAATAATTCAGTGTCTATGGTTAATTATTTTAAATGGTGTATTTGATAGCTGTGTACAATAAAACCGATAGCCTATTGTCTTCACAAAATATATATAAAAAAACAATCACTCCAGCAAAAACAACCGAAAAACCCTCTCAAGAGCTATGAAAAAGAATAGGAGATAGATATGAAAAAGAAAACACGGAACCATTACTATAGTATAAACTAAAACCAACGTCAATATAGATCACTACCGCTCATGAGGCTATACGCCTACATACATCGACTGGAAGCTCTGTTTTCCTCTTTTTATCGCTTATTATTAATCCCACACGTCTTATCTCATATAAACATGCTCCAGGAAAACAAATGCCTTACCTTTTCATCGCTGAGTTCACCATCTCTCAAATTGAATCTCTGAAATCCGAGTTTTGAGTTTTGTATTTGTAACGCTTGAATAGACCGCAGACGCAAATGTCGTCTGAACTGCAGCTTGTTTATCTCTGTTCTAAAGGGGCTCGACTGTAATCTTTGTATAGGGCTGAGTGTCAAAATAAAAGTCACTGCAGAGGTATTTTTAATGATAAATAAATAAATAAATAAATAAAACAATATCTATCTATCTATCTATCTATCTATCTATCTATCTATCTATCTATCTATTTATTTTTCTATCTATCCCCCCTCTCTAATTACATAAATAAATGAATTCGAGTAAAAAAAAATAAGATTAGACACACACACACACACACACACACACACACACATATATATATATATATATATATATATATATTCTATCGCTCGCTCGCTTGCACTTTCTCTAAATAAATAAACACCGTATTCTTAAAACATATAGCGCTTAAAACATTAAAGAGATCTGCGGACTGTCAGCTCAATAAGAAAAAAAAAACTACATTTCCCTTTGTTTCCTCTCGAATAGGACCTAAACAATATCCGGGTCAGAGGAGGCGAATTTCCGCGCCTTTTCGTAGTCGGGATGGGTAAGAGGGTTAAACAACCTGCAATATTTCAACCGTATTATCATATTATGGACTAAATTAAACTTTAATACACATACTTCAAATGCAGACGATTTGGTGGCACAAGATAACGTCTAAATATGTTGCTCCCGTCTGATGTCGCCAGACTTGTGCTGGGTAAGGTCACTCTTGATCTGTCCCTCTCTAGGAGAAGCTAGCGAGCTAATACTCCGTTCCTAATTACAGTATGTGTAATTATGTGATTTGTCTCCAGAACTGCTGGGTAGTTGTAAATATTTAGACCATTACGAAACTGAGAAAATTGTGTCGTTCTGAGCTCAGGCAGTGCGAGGCTGTGATGTGTCAAACTGCTGAGATGATCGATAACAGAATTTTAGTCTGCTATTCTCAAATGAAGATATTTAAATGTGAAATTATGTATCATTCACTTTCAACTTTTAGGCTACCTGCAGCAAGAAGGGCTCACTGCCACAAGCCGAGCCTTCATCTATGAGAGTCCAAACCTGAAGGAATATGCCGAGCACAGCTCAGAGGACGGGGTCATCCCTGCCTGTGTGTTTGTATGTGTCAAGTTCATGATTGATAACAGGGTGGTAAACATCAATAAATTACTGGTGTGTGTTAAAAAGATATGTTTACTAAATAACAATTTTGCTATTGTTGATTTTTCTTCTTTTCCAGTCTCTTTTTGGAAAAAACCTGATCACGATTTTAAATGAATATGTTGCTGTTAAAGCAAAAGGTGAGTGCCCTTAAAAGTAAATGAAATGTTTTGATATACACTGTGAATCTGTTTCCGCTTTAACATGTTTATTTCATTTCTTCTGCAGAAACAAGTCAAGAAAATCAAATCCCAGCTGTGATGACATCATTATGGAAAAAGCTTGACTTCACACTCAACCAAATCAAGTGAATTAATATTTGTTTACATCGTCACACTGAATGTTTACATTTTTTAATGTCTTTTTATTAAAATCTTCCGGTATTGTCCACAGGTCTCTGCAGAATTCTCCTGCAGTGCAACTGAATCAGCGACGTGAGTTTTACTCTTTGTTTGAACATTTCATTCTATCTGTTTGTTTTCTTTTTATTTATTATACAATTATAATTCTGACTTTCTGACTTCTAATTAACAAAAGCGAAAAAGGCCTCTAACACTAGCTTGCTCTATTCTTTTTCTATTCTATCGGTTTTCTTTTTATTTATTATATGATAAAAAAAAAAAAACTTGCTACGTGCACTGCATTAAGCTAACTGAGACTTGTTATAGCACTTGCATATTATTGCTCTTTTGTTGATTTTGATTGCTTCCATTGTCCTCATTTGTAAGTTGCTTTGGATAAAAGCGTCTGCTAAATGTAAATGTAATGTAAATGTTTGAGAGAAATTGTTTTCTTGATGACTTGGAAGTTGGAATTATTGAAATTAACCAAATATAATAGATATAAGTATAAATATAATATATACATATGGCATTAAATGTAAAAATACATGCACATTTAACATACACTACTGTTCAAATGTTTGGGGTCAGTAAGATTATTGTTTATTGTCACCAAGGCTGTATTTATTTGATGAAAAAATGAAATATACAATTTAAAATGAGCATTTATCTTTTTTTTTTTATTGTGATTGCAATGCTAGATTTATTTGTGATTGAATGTTTTTGTGGAAACCATGTTTTAAAAAAATTTTTTATTCTTTGATGAATAGAAAGTTCAGAAGTAGAGAATTTATTTGAAATAGAAAACTTTTGTATCATTATAACTGACTTTACTGATTATTAATTTCTTTAAAAAAACTTACAGACCCCAAAACATTTGAACAGTAGTGTAATTTATTTATTTATTTTTTCTGTCATTAAGTTCGCACTATGAATAGCATTCAAAATATGAGACGTCAGCAGAGACCCTTGTTGGCATCACAGTCTCCCATCACTGGGCACCCGCCCTTGACTCCAGCACTCCAGTGTGTCCCCAGCACTTTGTCCACCCCTCAAGGCATGCTGGGACATTCCACCCCAGTGTCTTACACTTCCCAGCATACCAGACCTTCCACTCTCTGCCTTAGTCAGCCAGGTGAGTCCTGAAAAACATGTTTAAATCGCACATTTGTATGAGATTTGTAAGTACACTCTTTACATTTTGCTATCTTACATCTTTATAGGGGAGTCACCATTGCAGATACTGGTCCCTGATAATAGACTGAATCCAGGTCCTTTGTCTCCAGCCCGCAGGAAATGGTAAGATGAAAGTGGTGATGACACCAGAAGTATGTTACAGTTTCGCTCTTTCTGCCTTTTCCAGATCAATCTGTAACAATAATTTATTTTAAAGCAAAACTCTGTTTTCTGCTGCAGTGACTCGCCGAGGCGGAGAGGAGGTGGTCAATTGTGTGCCATCGGGACAAACAGGGCCACCGTAGTGTCCAGCACACTCGTCGTGGAATCTCAAAATGAAGAAACTGTGACGGAGAACTTATCTGTGAGTCAGGCTGATTCATTAAGGGTTTTTTAAAATGTTTTCAAGGAGTTTCTATTTACTTCTGCTTAATTGAAGATCATATGTTTCTTTTTTAACAGCAAATAGTTATAGAAAACGCCAGAGAAAAAATTCTCAATGATAGATTCTTGCAAGAAAAACTTGCTGAAAATATCAACAAAATCTTGGCAAGGTAAATGCTAAAAAAATGGGCAAGAAACAACTTCAAATAACAAAAAAATTACATTGAGATCTTACTAAACACATGTTGTAATATCACTTTAATAACAGTGATAATACCTGCAGTGCTGTTGAACAAGAGCAGTCGATTGATGAAATCCTGGGCCTCCAGGTGTGTGAATGCACATCTTTTACTATTTTTTATATCTTGACAGCCATATCAAGCCTTAACCTGCAAAAAATTGTTTTAGGGGGAAATTCATATGACAGATGATGCAATCCAAGACATATTGGCACAGACAGAGTCAGACCCAGCATTTCAGGCACTCTTTGACCTCTTCGACTATGGTAGGTTTGAGCAATTGATTAAACAGAAAATCAGATTCTGTTATAAAAGCCAAACTGATTTTTTTATTATTCAGAAAGGTCTCACTGATAACCTTTCATCTCTTTTGAAGGGAAAAGTAATACGGCTGAATGCAGTGAACAGGCTGATGGGAGCTTCAGTACTAGTACTAGTGCACAAGAGAGTGATGAGACTGGGCATGTAGACAGCGCCTCTGAAACAGGTAAGATGGATCGGCTTTATGTTGTAAAGCAGCACAGGTAATTTCCTGTGTATACATTTTATTATATGCACTATGGTTAAAAAGTTTTGTTTTTAAATGTTTTTAAAGAACTTTCCTATGATCTCCATAGCTGCATTTATTTGATAAAAAAAACAGTAAAAAAATAATATTATGAAATACTTTTACAATTTAAAATAGCCTATTTTCTATTTTAAAATATTTAAAAATGAATTAAAAATGTATCAAAATTGTATAAAATTATTTCTGTTATGGCAAATTTTCAGCAGCCATTACTTCAGTCTTCAGTGTGACATGACCCTCAGAAATCATTGTAATATGTGGATTTGATGCTCAAGAAACATTTCATATTATTTTCAATGTTGAAAACATTGTTCATAACAGTTGTTTTGGGGAAACTGTGATACATTTGTTTCAAAATTCTTTGATGAATAGAAAGTTCAAAAGAACAGTTTTTATTTGAAATAGAAGACTTTTGTGACATTTTAAATGTCTTCACTGCCACTCTTGATCAATTTATTTCATCCTTGCTTAATACAAGTATGACTTTCTTTTAAAAAAGACTTACTGACCCCAAACGTTTTAGTGTAGAGACAATATATAAACTGTTGTATGATTTTATTCATTATTTTAAGCCACTGGACAGGAGAATTCCACATCAGGAGGAGAAAGTAGTGCACCAAATATAAGCACCCAGTCTGAGTCAAAAACCAAAACGAAATCTTCCAGCCTTCGTAATGCAACAAAGTCTGCTTCCACAGCTCCACAGCCACGTATTGTAACCAAACAAACTGGACGAGGATCCACAAACTCCAAAAGAGGGATAGTCAGGACTAGAGTTTTATCCAGTAATAAACAATCCAGAAGTGCCACTTCAACTTCTCCAAGTTTGAACAATAAAGCGGATTCGCGTCCACCTGACCAAATTGTATCAAGCTCTTCTTTGACAGAGGAAGGAGTTGGCATGGAGATAGATGAACCAGAAAATGAAACCTCTGAGAGCGTAAATATTCAGCTAGTTCCTCTGGAGAGCTTGCATGCAAACGAAACATTAAATGATAATAAAAGCAGTCAAGTTCCAATTTCAACATCGCAAACCACATCCACTACTGAGACCTCAAATAATGCATCTGTGAATGAGCCTGGGAGAGTAACAGGAATTACCACGGGACAGAATGATGATATGGGAACCTCTTTATCCATTCAAAGTGAGACTGTGCCCTCACTTTGCTTGCCTCAACCTGACACAGACACATCCGCCAAA